TCTAGTCGATTCCAGGCTTCGTAGTATTTTGGAGAAATCAAGATATTATCCGGTCGATTTTCGGGCTTCATAGCTTGAATTGGAACAAAAATCTTAGTATCGATTTGACTGAACCAGAGAAAACTTATGAGAACTTGATTGTATCTTTCCCTGAAAGGTAAAGAGTTAGTCATATGTAATGCCATGATGTATGAAATGTATTGATTAATGTTGTTCTCAAAATAAATGAGATTATGTTGTATGATGCATATGCGCATGCCATGATGTATGGATATGCAATGTTCTTGTGATATTCTCTGGCTGGGGAGAATAAATCCTGGACTGCTGTTAGAGAGTATAAGGAGTTGAGTTCTTCGTTCTCGCTGGGGATAGTGACCGAAGATGATTAGCTGGAGACTTGCGTCTGTTCTGCTTGAGAATATTCCGTCGAGATAGACTCTATTTGAGAATAACCCTTGTGGGAGAATGACTTTGTGGGGAAGAGAGATACTTTGTTGGATGATTTGCTGATTTGGAGAAATAAACTTAGCTGGTGGTGAACTTTTATTACTGATGACAGATAAACTCTGCTTGGGGAGAAATTTTCCGACTCATTCGCGATTATGAACCTTGGCTGGGTAGAGCTAACATCACTGTCTTTGGACACTTCCTACTCTGCGGGGAGTGTATGTACCTTTAGTCATATTCTCAAGCTGGCTTTATCCCTGTACCTGGTGGGTAGAGCAACTGTAAGGTTTGGGCACTTCTTGTTTGCCCCTGTTCCTAGAATTACGAGTAATTGTCTTTTTTTTCTTATGTAAATATTTATGAGCAACAATTATTTTCAAATGCATATATCAAAAATGAATCATTGGACGTTCTTGCAAAAAAAAATAGAAAAAGAAAAAAAACAAGTTGAATTTCGTGAAATTAAATTGTATGGATTTTAAAGTTGGCCTGTAATAGGCGTTTTGTACAAGAGGCTGGCGTCCTAGTAAGAGAACGACGCCGAGGGAACAGAATTTATACAATTTGTGTAAAATAAAGAAAAATAGCTATGTGAAACAATCCCACTGGGTTTCAACTCAGCTATTTCCTTTATATCTTCAAGCGTCTCATCACTTTGCGACTTGGTCGAAGGTAAATCAGATTGATTGGCGCCATCCGAGCTTGATAGTCGATACAGAAGTCTAGTCACAAGATGATCCCATGAGACATAGTGTTACGCTTTGATCCCTAATTTTTTCCTGAACCGCCCTTTCGGGTTTTTAGTCCACCGGGATACCCTTTTTTGCCCAAGCCGCCTTTACAGGTTTTCGACTTACCGGGTGTACAATTTTTTTCATTTTCATCCCTTACTTTTGCCCGAACCCTTTTGGTTCGCTGGGAAGCCCTTATTTTTGCCTAGGCCAGTCGACCTAGCGGGTCTTTGATTAGGCGTAGTATTTTTTCACTATGTCTACATTGACGGGATGAGGAAGGTCGTCACCATCCAAGGTGGTTAGAATCATAGCTCCTCCCGAGAAAATATTCTTAACCACAAATGACCCTTCATACGTGGGGGTCCATTTGCCCCTGGGATCACCTTGCGGCAGTATGATGCGTTTGATCACCAGATCCTCGACTTGATATTCTTGACGTCTGACTTTCTTGTTAAAAGCCTTGATCATTTGCTTTTGATACGTCTGACCATGACAAATAGCAACAAGTCTCTTTTCATCAATTAGATTCAACTGATCAAGTCGGGTCTGGATCCAGTCGTCTTCGCTCAAACCTACATCCTTCATAATCAGGAGAGAAGGTATATGGACTTCAATGGGTAGGACTTCCTCCATACCGTACACCAAAGAGTATGGTGTTGCCCCTGTCGATGTCCGTGCTGAGGTACGTTACCCATGAAGAGCGAATGGTAACATCTCGTGCCAGTCTTTGTACGTCACCGTCATCTTCTGCACAATCTTCTTGATGTTCTTGTTAGTTGCTTCAACAACCCCATTCATCTTCGACCGGTAGGGAGAAAAGTTATGTTGCTGTATCATAAACTGTTTGCAGAGCTCGGTGATCACCATATTATTGAGATTTGTACCATTCTCCGTAATGATCCTCTCTGGTACACCGTATCGACAAATCAGATTGTGTCGGATAAACCGCGCCACGACGTTCTTTGTTACTGTAGCAAAGGAAGCTGCCTCAACCCACTTCGTGAAATAATCGATTGCTACCAGAATGAAGCGATGCCCATTGGACGCAGTAGGTCTGATCTCACCTATCATGTCGATACCCCACATTGCGAAAGGCCAAGGAGATGTCAAAACATTCAGAGGAACTGGAGGTACACGCACCTTATCAGCATAGACTTGGCACTTATGACAGTGTGATACGGTCGGAGAACTAACTTGAGGTTTTGCATTTGTGTTCACAAATGTTTCGGTTTAGCAAGAGCTTCCACCGACTTTTATTTTATCCAAAATGAAAGGTAAAAAAGCACAGGAAAGACCTTTGAGATTGTTTTTGGATTCGGGGGGTAGATTATGAAAAGGGAAGGTGCTAGCACCCTTTTCATCCATGGTTTTCCATGGGCTCTTAGTTACTTGTTTAGATCACTTGCTTTGCTTTTCCAATTGTTTGAAATGGTGCTTTGTGTGGTTTTGAAAGTATTTTGAAAAGAGGCCTTTGTTTAGGCAATCTTTGTAATGATTCTCGTTCGTAAGAATGTATACAAAGATGTTTGTCTTTTGAAAAATGTTTCAATGTTTTGAAAGTTGTTTGAAAATGTTTTGAAATTGTGTGTGTGTTTGAAATTAACAAGGATGGTTTGCAAATTGATCAAGTAACTAGAAGCATCTACCTACTCAAAAGTCTTTCTTGTACATTTTTATTCCTTTGATATTGTTGTTTTACCATTGCTTTGGTAAACAAACCTATCTTTGGATGTTAAACGGAACGGGCATGGGTCATCGTATGCCATGATAACAATATTGCCAAGTATCTTTAGCAAGTTTGGAGGGACTAAGATCGTTTGTTTTTAGGCAACCAAGATAGCGTCATCGAGGGACTATGATCTTTTGTTTTGTTTTGTTTTGCCAAGATACCTAGCATGCATACCATGGTCATTTTGTTTTAAGGCAGCAAGTGGGTGAAACCCTAGAGGTGCTTGTGTGCAATGTGTTATCATTTTTCATGCATTTTTGTCTTGTGTTAAGTCATGCTATTTGATTTTTGGTCTTTTCATTCAAAACCCTAGTTTACTATCATGGTATATGAAAGCAATAAAATGCATAAAGTAAATCTAGACTATTAAAACAATATTATGGGAAGGGGGGATACAAGTTTTGAATGGAGATATTTGCACAAAATAAAACCCTAATTCACTATTACAACCCAATTGAATTTATTGTACAATAAATAAATAAGTATTTAAATATGTAATAAAATGTAATTAGGCAAACATGTTTTTTGTAATTGTTTTAAGTATGAGAAAATAATATTTTCAAAGTCCTAAAAATAAGAAAAAATAATGTTATTTTGAAAGGGTGAGAAACCCTAATTTTTTGATTTAAAAGAAAAAATATTGTTTTCTATATCATTTATTTACTTCATTTTGTTTAAGAAAAATAATAATATTATGTATAAATATTACAAAAATAAATTATGTATGAAAAATAAATATTTAATGTATATAAAATATAAAATAAAAAAATATTAAGTAATTTTATCATTTACAAATTTATTTAGGAAAAATAAAGTATATTAACCTAATAACTTATTTTTATGCCAAAAAATAATAAAAATAATAAAATAAAAATGCAAAAAATTAAGAAATTTTTTTGGGATTTTTAATGTTCAGAAAAACAAATAATAAAGTCAATAATTACAAAAGAAAATAAAAAAATGCAAAATATAAAAAATAGGCCAAAGGGGTGCAAAAAGGAAACAGGGGGGTGCAAAAAGTAGGACAAACAGGCCCAAGGCGCGCCAGGCCTATGACCTGTCGTCCCTGTCCTCCAGCCGGAACAAAACGCGCGCTTCTGCCTTCAAAACCTGTTCTTGCTCATGTGTAATACCCCAAATTTGTCCTACCCCTTTGCCTTTATCTAGCTTATGCATCTTGCACTCTTCACTTCATGTGCATACACAACATTAGGTCATTTGACACGTCATGCATCATTAATCAATAAGCTTAGCATTGGATCCATGGTTTTTAAAATCGAGGTTCCATCTTATGAAGGTTGCTTTTAGCTGAGGTTCTCATTAATCATGGATTAAGGGTTTGCTTCCTTATGCTTGGAATTATCAGATAAATCTTGGGGTTTGGTCTTATAATTATCTTGGGTTTGTTCTCAGTGCTTGGGCTTGTTCATCATGTGAGGGGTAACTTCATTGTTACTTATGATGCAGGACTTTCAACTGGACTTCTTTCAAAAGGCTCTAAACTTAGACAAGAAAATTCTTTGGGTTCATGAAGTGAGATGTTTCTTTAGTGTGTTAGCACTTATCTTTGGAAGTTAGGGTTTATTTCCCTGTTCATGGGGTGATCAAGAGGCTCGTTGGGTAAAGTCTTATTCTATGAGCATGAATCAGTGCAATTAGGTTTCTTTGGGGCTATCATATGGCATATTTCAATGTTAGGGCTTCATTGGATTTTGTCATTTGTCAAAGTATGGCCGGCTTGGTTATTTGGGTTACAAGTCAGTATTTTGAACCTTATACAAGAGTTTGGGGAGAAATGGTGGAATTAGAATATCACATCAAAGGTTTAAATCTTTTAACCAAAGTCCTTAAAAAATTTGGGCTTTTTCCTTACCACCACATGGTTCATACTCGAGCTTGCAAGTTTGAAGTGGAAAAATAGAATTTCAAATACAATCCGGAGGAAAAAGAGTTTCGAATTTTATTCAAGGGAATATTATTTCGTTACAAGATATTCATTACAAGATAGTATTCAAAATAATGTCCATCTACACCATTACCACAAACAGAATTACATAAAAATATTACAAGTTTTGACCAAAGTCAGCACACTACTTGTTAACCCTTCTTAAACCTATGCAAAACTTATCCATCTTCACTCTCATTCTTCTAATTCCACGACCAATCTTCATGCTTATTACTTCATGGCTTAACTGTGCCTTTGCAACTTCTCCACTTCCAAACCTATTCAAGCATAAAGGAAAAAGAGGTGATTAATATCAAGACTGTCTTAACTAAAGGAAAATTAAGTAACCTGCTTTCACTTTAAAATTCATAAAAATCCAATTCCAAAATAGCCCTGCATATAAAAAAGAGTTTATAACAGTTTTTCTAACTTAACCAACCCAAAACAATTACAACCAAAACTTCTTAACCACCATATAACTACCATAACCGATGCCAGCTCATCAACTTCATACCATAACAGAAAGCTAACTGAAAACCAGTCCTCATAACTAACTTTCAGAGGAACTCTAACAAACTTTCCAGATATAACAGAATTGATATTCACAACATTGATGATTCAACCCAGAAAGATTAGAAAAACTCACCTCAAGAATCTTCAATCAAAGCTTTCTCTCTCTGTTCCATTTTCTTGATACAACTTCATCATCACCGTCTACATTTCAACCTTCAACTTGCGGCACCTCGACACACCCAAAACCTTCATCAATTTCTCCATACTCTTGCACACATTCCTCATCAACAACAATTTTGAGCAGTTTCATCTTTTGATACAGCAACCGCGAGGAAACCCAACGCAGAGATATTTAGAGCGTAACATAATGAGTAATAGATGAAGTGAAGAGTGCATAAAGATTAGGGAAGAAGATTAAAGTGAAAAGAATCGCATACCTGAGTCCAGCTTCACTTCGATCATTCTCGCATCAGAGGTAGACGAATCTCTCATTTCTTCATCTATTTCTTGTTACGAAATTAAGAGCGAGATTGAAGACCTGAGAACAAAGAGAGAAAAGAGATGAGATGAAGGAGGTGTTCGAGACAGAGGCCAATGGAATCAGAGATGGAAACAAATGGAATCGGAAGTGAGCAGAGATCAGAGAGAGGAAAATATACATGTTCTTGAAAGTACTTATTTTGGTTATATCACTGGCTCCGGTTGAAGCATTACAATGACTGGAGGAGAAGCAACTTTTACGATGGCGTTCATCACGAATTAAAAGGGAGAAACCAAATGGACGAAGGATATGGTTTTGTGATTCACAAAGGCAAATAGAATATTGAAAAATGAGGACGGTGAGGAGCTTGGATGTGTCGGTCAGAGATAGTGTTCATCATCGGCGCTGCGATTTGTTAAGAAGCATATTCTCAATTCATGAAGCCCAATAGTCCCCTCCGTGAAACGAACAAAGCCACCTCTATCTCCTTCGATATTTGCTTCAAACTCCAATGAAAATCATCACCTTCGTTGCTTCGATCTTCTTCAACATGTTCTCTTTCATGCAAGCGGCGGCTCATCATCTCTCTCCGCCCTTGTTTCGGCTCAACGTCACAATCTTCACCTCGACTACATCTCCGATCCAACTTCGACGGTGCAACTCCTTCAGTGTGAACTCACTTTGATCTCAAATTCCAATTGCTTTTCAGCGTCACTCCGATGATGTTTCAAACATGGTGAAGACGCAACGAAATCCACATATCTTGTTCAGATTATTGACGAAGAAGGGAGACGACAGAATATCACTGAGACAGAGGGAGAGATCGCATGGGCCGCCGCGGCTGAGTTTGAGAGGACGAAGGGAATTAGTAACCCTAATCTCTTCTTTAATTATTTCAATTTTTTTAAATTATTATTTTGTTTTATGCTGAATGATAACACCATGGACCAAAATTCAGTCTTCTCAGGCCCATGCTACCATACTTCTAAGCCTTGGTTGCAAGTAAACAAAAACAGCTCTTGGACTGCTTTCATGATGGGCCTTCAGCGCTTTATATCGTTACTATAATACCACGTGTTTCGGCCTGCACTCCCCATAGTCAATAACCTCTTTTTTGGCAGCCTGGTCACTCATGATAAAAACGGTTATTTGGACCATACTGTTGGGTTTAGAATCATGATCTGGATTTCTACTGCACCTCCCGCTTGCTGGCATGCACCCTTTAGATTTATTCTCTTAGTTTTTCTTTTAACTAATTTTGTTAATTTTCTAGACTTGTTTAAACTTTCTTTACATGATAAAAATTCAAAAAAATATTAGAATAGAATTTTACCTTTTTTATTAACTTTGTTTGTTATTTTATCCATGTTTTTGGTAGATTTTAATGCTAATTTTGTGTGAGATTTCGAAATAAAAAGATACTTGAGTGAGGAGTTTCATGAAGTTTCAAAGCTAGCTAAGAGCATAATTTTCATCAAAGAATTAAAGGAGGCTTATGCAGAGTTTTCTCATTGCTTGTGTGATTATGAAGAGGCAACGAACCTTCTCCGTTCGGTACCATCGCAACCTCATTTTACTCCTCATTTACGCACTTTACTGCTTTTCTAGATATCATGAGAAGTAGGAAATAAAGAGCGTGCGCTCGAAGTCGCTGTTTAAAGACCTGTAGCAGGCATTCCGCACTTCATTTGCTATATGTGTTGTGCTTGTGTTTGTTTACTTTCTTGTCGATCGATGAGTCACTCAATTTAGCAATTGAGATCACGACTTCGCTCTCAGTGCATGCTCCCTATAGGATTTTATCGCTTTCTGTTATTTCTTGCCGATCGATGAGTCACTCAATTTAGTAATTGAGATCACGACTTCGCTCTCATTGCATGCTCCATATAGGATAGTTTTTTTAGACTTTTCTTTGGCATGCTAACCTAGGCAGGATCCCTTTAGGCGTGCTTCCTTTTCGCTGGCTTGTTTGCTTTATCCTTGTACATACCATGCTCCCTTAGGATGCGCTTGCTCCATTCGGATGCAAGTTAGACCTTAGGTGGCAAACCATGCATGCTAACATTAGGTAGACGTTTCCCTTTTGTTAATCCAAACCTTAGGACCATCATTGTATGATAACATTAGGTTAGAAATAGGCTAGTCTCCCTTAGACTCTATTCTTCCCCTCTTTGCATCCTTGCATTCAAAACAAAAACTTCTCTTCTTAGCAAATAAAAAACATGCTAATCATACCTAAACCCTTTTTCAAGGTAACAAAAATACAAAACAAATTCAAACCATTTTGTGCGCTCGAGCACCTTTTCTCTAAAACCCTTTTCAGGTAATGACATGATTAATTTACTTCTGTGCCAACGCATAAGTCTCCAAAGGTCGAGCTGCGGCAGAAGGCGGAATTAACATTGTCCATAAAAAACACAAAACAAACAAAAACATGTGAGCCAAACTACGATAGCTCTGATTCCTCAAAAAGGATACGTAGGCATTGGGGTAGGGCCCAGGCGAGCACAATTTTATTTTCCCTACATTCTTTTCTCCTTATTTTGCATGCATTCCTTTCAGTAGTATAGTAGACAGTAAGCATAGATTAAACACACCCATAAGATAGACAACAAGAGTGGATACCGTAGAGTACTACGGGCGCGTGGGGTGCTAATACCTTCCCCTCGCGTAACATACTCCCTTACCCGATCTCTCGGTTGCAAGACCGTGACTTCTCCCTTCTCAGGTTTTCTCGATGTTTACCTTTCCCTACATGTGGGATAAAAGACGTTCGATGGCGACTTCATTGTTTTGATGATTTTCAACCGGTTGTTTCAGCTGGCGGCTTCACTGGGGACAGGTTGACCAAATGTTGGTCCATCCCGGAGTCGCTCCTAGCTCTTGCTTTCTTTCATTTGGGTGTTTATCTTTACGCTTTCAGTTTATTCATTCATTTTGTATATACTTGAGCATATGTATGCATTGCATTTTACTGTCTTCCATATACTATTGTTGTACTGGATCTGCTTCTTATTGGGTGGGTGTTACTATGAGGTAAAAGGCCCAATACCCAGGCCAGAGTTGTATACCATAGGAACCCTAGGAATAGAGTGGAACATGAAAGACTAGTTGACTTAGGTCTCACTATTGCCGCCATGTCTTCCACGCTCAGATGAGGTACAAATGAGGGGCTATCGTTTTCACTTAGGTGATACGACGATAGTTTTTCAGGAGTACCCTCGATTCTGAGTTACCATTGCCTTACCCTGACCTAGTTTTCACTGTGAGCAGGGAGGGAACTCTTATTACAGGTACAGCTGGTGACTATGTTCAGATGGTTACTCATATTCAAATGATGACTATGCTCAGACAATGACTATTGGTTCTGATGGCTATATTCTGGATTTCTGTTATGACTTTATGCAGATGTTATATCCTGTTGGTGACCGTATAGTTCTCAGATTTATTTTGAGTTCCTGACTTGTTTACCCGGAGGTTCATTCAAGCCTTCAATCTTGGTATTCCCGGCATATTCAGAAAATTCTCAACAGTATCCAGTCCCAGAAGCCTTGATCATGTACAATCAGTGATCTACATAGTACTTGGTTCTTATATATGCAGAAGCTATGTCAGACCTCTGATCTGATGACACTCACATGTTTTAGAGCAGTGCAACAATCTTATTCAGGAATGATGGAATCTTGATCCTCTTTGATCTCATGCCTTTGCATACATAACATGGCTAACCACATGCTTAACATACATGTTCGGTTATTTCCAAGGAATCATACTTGCAAGTCTTGTGCTAAACTCTTCCATTCCTTACTCGCGTAAAATCAAAATCAAAGCACGCAAATTCCTTGGAAATGGCAGAACATGACATGGCACTCATTCATGCACCCCATGCATATTCATGCATTCATGACAGGTACCCGAAGATTGGGGATTCTTATTCAGACCTGGGGTTATCTTCAAAGATTCAACTTGATTTCTCACCGCACATGCTCAGAGATCAGTTATGGAATAACTCCGAGTGGTACATGCAAGATTTGGCTCGTAGTCAGAAACTTCTTCAAGCAGGAAGATAATGGGTTAAATACTCAGATAAGCCAGGTCATGGAAACTCTGATGATGATGTCTATTATTTCTTTAAGACATGATATGCTTGGTGATATTATACTGGGGCACCTGGCCAATCGATTGAAGATGGTATGTCATCCATAGACCAAGTCCAAGACTGGATCAATTCAGAGACTGTTGTGTTCACATCAGGTCAGAAGGGAATTCTCTCGCCCACTCGAGCTTCAATACTACAGAAAGTCGTCAGAATCAGCAAGTCCATACGGAGTCAAGTCTCCTCAACAGTGGCAATCATTGGTTTCTTTACTGCATTTTCATTTGCATTCTTGCTTGTTTGTTTAAACATTGCTTGTATATGGAAACTTGTCTATTTTTGAACGAAAATCTTAATGCAATAAGTATGCTTGTCTTGAAGTATTCCTTTCATTCTTATTCATCCATTCGTTATCACTCTTTAAATGTTTTACTTGCATATTGATGCCAAATTTCCTAGTCTTATGCTTAGGTAAAGATTGGAAGTAGGATGACGATAATCTAAAAATGCAAAATCTCTGGTTGGTACGCTTTTGAGTAAGACCCTGCTGACGATGTACAGGCCTTCTTTCAATTCCTAAACACCAGAGATATAAGGGAGATAGACCCTCGTTAACCCCTCTGAGCCTTCGAAGTAGGAGTTTCTTTTCTATTCAGAAAAAACCCTCATTTTAACCCTGGGGCGGGTAGTGTTCAGCTAATCTGATCAAGCATTCAGAACTTATCAAGAGTGT